TAGGCAGTGGCTAGCCACCCGTGGCGGCAGGTTCCCAGCCCCCACAACAACCCCAGGAGTCAACCACCGCCTGCACTGGGCTGTGTCCGCACATCCCCCAGGTTTGCCCTGCTTGCAACTCAGGACCAGCCCAAGAGGTCAAATGTGCCCCCCGACCAATCAGGCCAGATGCCCAAATCTGGGTGGCTGCCCTCCCTACCCTTGGGGCCCCCGTAACTGACCTCTCCTATCATGGTCCCCACTGCCCCCAGTCACAGTTGGGGGCTGATCCCAACTCTGGACCAATGGCCTCTGTATGCTCTCATTTGGGTGGTCCTCATTTATTCCTGCACATTGTTCATGCCATAAACATTTGCTGACCTAATTCTTATCAACTGTGTGCTGGGCTCTGCAGAGGGAAAGATCACCCACCTTGTCACCTAGGAGTTCTTGGTCTAGTTTGGGGAATGAACCCCAGAGAGATCACAGGGGAACCTTTAGGGGAGGGCGGGGGGCTCAGTCAGCCTGTTGCAGGTGCTGGGGAGAGAGGCGCCTGCAGAGGGAGGGTGTAGAGGGGGCGGCCCGCCCAAGCTGTGGTGGGAGGGGTCAGGCCCCGGAGAGAACCAAGTCCTAACTCTCAGGGTCACAAAGCACTTCAGTCATGGGAACAAAAAGACCAGAGTGTTTTCTCCAAAGCTCTCAGAGGGACATGGATCAGGATGACAACTGGAGCTGCTGCCCCAGGGCAACGAACGTGGGGCCTGGAGCAGAAGCCGGCCTGGCAGGATACCACGTGGGCTTGGCCAGGTGCCAGGAATGGTGCCAGGGTGTGACCCAATTCAGTCATAACCCACCAAAGCACCCAAGACTGAGGGGCTTGAAGAGTGACTTGCCACCATCTCCCAGGTCCTGGGGGTCAACTGGGTGCCTGCGTGGAGTCACTACCTGGGGCATCAGATGGCTACTGGGCTGCCCAGTCACCAGAGGCTCACTGGGGCTTCTTTACCCAGACGTGGTGGGCTGCAGCACCCAGAGCCCATGGGCATCTCTCCATGTGGCATCCTCTTGACGTAGCAGCCTGGGGTGGCTGGCCGCCTAGAGGGGCTGTGACCCAGCCCAGGAGCACCACCAGCTCCTCATGGGCTGCACGGGCCCCAGAGGCAGCCAGACCCAGCGTGGGAGGGGCACACGGGAGTCATCCAAGCTGGGGGTGAGGGCTGCCTGATGACGCCAGTAGAGTGGACACTGCCACCCTGGGAGAGCGGGAGGAGGCTGGCAATGGCTGGGCTTTCTTTGAGGGGTGATGACAATGTTCTGAACCAGATCATCGTGATGCTGGCACACCCTGTGAATATACTAAAAACATTGAGCCGTACATTCCAAATGGGAGAATTTTATCTCAGTAAAGCTGTTTAGAAAAGGAAATCTATTTGAACTGATACTTGGTTGTTCTTACATTGTTATATATTTTTTTGTTCTATTCATGCCAGAGAGTAATATTTCCTCTTAACCAAAGGTTTGGAATTGAAGTAAAGAACTGTATTTTCACCTGTAAAATGCTTTACTTTAAAAAAGTAAAAAATCATTATGAGACTCAGTCCTCCAAACTTATCTCTATAACCTACTTAAGTGCATTTATGCAGAGCAAGAGAGTTTAATTGGTGCCTTAGCTGTGACAAATTCTGTGGGTGGAGGCACACTCGCTTTCTCCCCGCCTGGAGGGTCGGCAGTAGTTTTCATTTGATCTCCTGATCTTCCAGTGGGCTTTGAGACACCACATCTAAGCTTCACAATAAGCGTTTGGGGTTCCCCAAAAAGTGACCAAGCAGGCTCCGCACTGAATTTGACTCTTAACTCTTGACATCTAATGGATATTCCTGACAGCATGGTAAAAACAGCTCAAACAACAAATTACCAAGTTCTTGGACAAACATGAGATTATATAGCATATATTTTCTTCTGAGAAGAGACAAGAGGAAAAAAGACACATATATTTGGAACACAAATTCCTTGCTGGCAGCTAACAGGGTGGTGTTTTGCCCACAGGTGGGGGGTGACCTGTAGTGTGGGGCACTGTCCCCCGACGGGGTTCCCCTGCATCACTGGAATCACTTCACCCAGACTCTGTAGGCATGCGCCTTTTGTGAAGCCAGCACGGTCACATCAACCTACAGGTGCAGGCCTTTGTTCCAATCAGATAACTGTCTTAAATTATTTACCAGTCCTCCCCTCTGGTCTTCTTGTTTTGAACACTGCGACAGCTTCTCAGATCCCCTGTGCTCTGCTCCGAGCTGGATGGCCTTTCCTTCACTTGGTTTCCCAGATGAACACCTTCCCTTTCGGTTCATCCATCCAAGTCCTGATTGAGGCCCCAGAAGGCTGTGATGCTTTGACCACACCCATGGCGAGTTCTCATGGCCTTTGCACTAATACTCCCTTCCCACCCTTTTCTGTTAATGGGGTCAGTGTGCCCAGTGCTCAGCAAGGACATGTGACCCCTGCATCCTGGGGTCTGGTTGCTAGTGGGCCACACACAGTGACCAGCCCCCTGGCCAGTGGAGAGCCGTGCACCCGGTGCTCCTGTGACCCATGGTGGGTAGGCAGGCCAGCAGTCCTCCTCCAAGGCACAGGGAGAAACCTTCTCTGCCAACACCAGCATCCTCAGGCTGGGGCAGGGCAACACGTGGGCAGGATCTCTTCACCCCCAGGTCACAGGCAGCAAGGGGGCAGGAGCCCGCCCACCCTCCCACCACCCAAGCACTACTGTGACCCCAGGGCCCTTACTCCTCATCCCACTGGCCAGGGAGGGTGTAGAGGGACACTAATCTGTTTTCCATCTCTGTGGATTTGCCTGTTCTGCACACTTCCTGTAAATGGAATCACACAACAGATGGCCTTTTGAGACTAGCTTCTTTCACTTAGCGCATTTTCAAGGTTCACCCACATTGTAACATTTGTAATATATACGGCACACACATCATGCCTTTTTATTGCAGAACTATATTTCATTGGATGGGTTTATCACCACTATTTATTTACTCTTCAGTTGATGGACATTTGGGTTATTTCCAATTTTAGTCACTGTGAATAATGATGCTATGTGCAAGTTTTTGTGTGGACATATATTTTCATTTCTTTTGGGCATTACACCTAGAAGTGAAATTGTTGACACTGACGATAATTCTAGGTTCAACCTTTTCATAGGCTGCCAGATAGTTTTCCAAAGTGGCTGCAACATTTTACATTCCCACCAAATGTAAGAAGGATCTGATTTTTCCACATTCTTGTCAGCACTTATTATTATCTATCTTTTTTATTATAGTTATCTTTGTGAGTGTAAAGTGGTATTTCATTGTAGTATTGATTTGCATTTCCCTAATGCCTGATAATGTTGAGTACCTTTTCATGTACTTACTGGCCATTTGAATATCTTCTCTGGAAAAATTTCTATTCAGATCCTTTGCCCATTTTAAAAATTGATTATCATTTTATTACTGAATTATAAAGGTTTTTAGGTATAAGTTCCTTATTATATTTATGATCTGCATATATTTTCTGCCATTCTAAAAGCTGTCTTTTAACTTTTTTAGGGTATCCTTTGAAGCACAAAATTTCTAATTTTGGTAAAGTCCAATTTATCTAATTTTTTTCTATATTCTTGTTGTCATTCATAATAATCTGTTGCCAAATCAAAGGCCACAAATATTTACTCCTGTGCTTTCTTCTAAGAGTTTTATGGTTTTAGTTCTTACATTTAGGTCTTTGATGCATTTTGAGTTCATTTTTTATATATGATATAAGGTTAGGGGTCCAATTTCATTCTTTTGCACGTGGATATCCAGTGTCCCAACACCATTTGTTGAAAGACTACAGTCTCATCAAAAATCAATTTATCTTCAAGCATTGTGGAAAACAGTATGGAGGTTCCTCAAAAAACTAAAAATAGAAATACCATTTGACCCAAGAATTCCACTCCTAGGAAGTTACCCTAAGAAAACAGGATCACAATTTAAAAAGACATATGCACCCCTATGTTTATCACAGCACTATTTACAATAGCCAAGGTATGGAAGCAACCTAAGTATCCATCAGTAGATGAATGGATAATGAAGATGGAATATTATTCAGCCATAAGAAGAAAACAAATCCTACCATTTGCAACAACATGGATGGAGCTAGACGGTATTATGCTCAGTGAAATAAGCCAGGCAGAGAAAGACAAGTACCAAATGATTTCACTCATATGTGGTGTACAAGAATAAAGAAAAACTGAAGGAACAAAACAGCAGCAGAATCACAGAACCCAAGAATGGACTAACAGTTACCAAAGGAAAGGGACTGGGGAGGATGGGTGGGAAGGGAGGGATGAGGGCAGGTAAAAAGAAAGGGGGTATTACGATTAGCATGTATAATTAGCATGTAGGGGGGGCATGGGGAGGGCTGTGCAACACAGTGAAGACAAGTAGGGATTCTACAGCATCTTACTACACTGATGGACAGTGACTGTAATGGGATGTGGTGGGGGGACTTGGTGAAGGGGGAGCCTAGTAAACCTAATGTTCTTCATGTAATTGTAGATTAATGATAACAAAAAAAAAAGAATGAAGTACTGACACATGCTACAACACAGATGGACATTGAAAACATTATGAAAATGAAGGCAGACATAAATTCACAAATATTGTATGATTCCATTACGCAAGAGATTCCAAACAGATAAATCCATAAAGACAGAAAGTAGATTGGTGTTTGTTGGTATGTGGAAGGAGGGGGAATAGAGAATGACTGCTTAGGTACAACGGGGCTCTATTTGGGAGATGAAAAAGATTTGGAAGCAGATAATGGAGGTTGCACAAAAGTGTGAATGTGTTAAATTTCACTGAATTGTTCACTAAACAATTCATTAAAATAGTTAATTAGATGCTATGTGAATTCCCCCTAGAAAAGGGGGATGCTAGCAGCCAGCTGTGTGACCAGAAGACAATAATTTAACAGGAGCGAGGCACACCCAGTTGGGTCAGTCTATCGTGTTTCTCCTCTGCTCGAGCAGGGCTGTAATGGAGACCCTTCATCCTCATAGCAGCCAGCTTCTGGGAGGAGAGCTGACCGCCCACTCCCTTAGCTGCGCCCTCACCGTGTGTGCCAGCTCGGTGAAGTTTTCCCCTGCCTGCTCCACGATGAAGCCCAGCTTGAAGATGGGGCAGTAGAGGTTGGATACCTCATCAAATGTGCAGTGTTTCAGGTAGCCATCCTTCCGGTTCTCAATGTTGCCCCTAGAGACAGAGCCCAGTGGCATCAAGTGGGGTGGGGGTGGAAGCCATGCCCCCATAAACAGTGCCTTCTCGGGGGGCAGCTCCCACCCCAGCCCACCTCATCACCACCCTCTAATGGCTCTTACTTGGAGAACTGGAATTTGGGGTAGTGGATGCTGTTCTTGATGAGGATGGTGAAATTTGGGGCCATCTTACCGAGAAATTGGCTGAGGAAGCACAGACTGGGTGTGTTTAGTCTCCCTCCCCTCCTGCCCCCCAGCCTTCCGGCTGCACTGTCCCCTCCCCAGCACCTCCCAGCCCTGGTCACTGAGGAGAAAGGTGCAAAATGAAGTCGCGCTGTGGTGGAAGCTGGGCCCCCACCAGGTGGGTTCCCGGGGAGCACACCTGACAGAGGCCCCGTCCTCCACTGGGCACCAGGCGGACACCTCGCAGGTCCTAGAGGCCCCGTGGTAATAGGGCACACAGCGCCCGGTGCGCAGTCCTGCGGGCAGACGTGCGCTCAGGCGGTCGTGTGGAAATGGAGCTGGACCGAGCAGTTCTGGCGGGTATCCGCAGATAAAAGCCTGAGTGCTGTTTGGGCTAAGAAAGGGGCAGAGTTCGTCTGAACCCTGGGACAGGGACGCCTTGCGGTGCTGCGGGACGTCCAACTGTCCTTGGGCATCTCTCGTGCTCCCTGAACTTACACAGAGGAGTCAACTGTACCTCAAGAAGGGGGTGACGTTAGGGTTGAGTGCGCTGCCCCCCCACGAGGCGGGGGGTCGCTGATGCTTTGTCCGTCCTCCTCCCCACGCAGAGTCCTCTCCTGGTGACTTGGTGCCCTCCCAGCGTCTCGGGCGAGGCGGACCAGGGGAGGGGCGGGGCGGGGCGGCGGAGGAGAGGCAAGGACTGGGCCCAGGGAGGGGCGTGCTGTGCGGGGAAACCGGACCCAGAGCGAGACGGGGTGGTGGGGATCTGGGCGCGGAGGGGGGCAGGGCGGGGCGCGCGAGGCCACGCCCCCAGAGCCACCCTCGCAGCCCGCCCCCTGGACCCACAGCGTCCGCTGAGCCCAGAGACTGACGAGCTCCGGGTCGTCCTGGCGGCAGGGCCATGGCGGCCGCTGAGCCCAAGACCCCCGCGGGGGCGGCCGCGGCCCGGCGCCTGGCCCAGGGCTGCTGGTCTGCCTTCTGGGATTACGAGACGCCGAAGGTGATCGTGGTGAAGAACAGGCGCCTGGGCGTCGTGTACCGCGCAGTGCAGCTGCTCATCCTGCTCTACTTCGTGTGGTGGGTGCGCGGCGCCGGAGAACCGTCTGGCAGGGGAAGGGTCCGCGGCCGCTAGGGTCGCTCTGATCCTGCCCACCGCCCGCACAGGTACGTGTTCATCGTGCAGAAGAGCTACCAGGACAGAGAGACGGGCCCCGAGAGCTCCGTCATAACCAAGGTCAAGGGCATCACCTCCTCTGAGCACAGAGTGTGGGACGTGGAGGAGTACGTGAAGCCCCCCGAGGTGTGCTCCGGCCGTCCGCCCAGTTCCGTGCACTCCGAGGGATGGTCAAGCCGCCAACGCAGGCTGACCATCCCCCTTTTCTGCCCAAGGGGGGCAGTGTCTTCAGTATCATCACCAGGATCGAGGTCACCCCCTTCCAGACCCTCGGAACCTGCCCGGAGGTGAGGCGGAGTCGCAAGCGGGGCGGGGAGGGTGGCTGGCCCATTGCACCAAGAGCTCTGCAGTCTGGGCGCTGACCGGGCGTCCCCCCTACCAGAGCATGCGGGTCAACAATGCCACCTGCGCCTCGGACGAGGACTGCGTGGCAGGGCAGCTGGACATGTTAGGAAACGGTCAGTGTGGGCCCACCTGGGGCTGGGGTCCCGCGCACCTCACCGCCTGAGCGCACGTCTGCCCGCAGGACTGCGCACCGGGCGCTGTGTGCCCTATTACCACGGGGCCTCTAGGACCTGCGAGGTGTCCGCCTGGTGCCCAGTGGAGGACGGGGCCTCTGTCAGGTGTGCTCCCCGGGAACCCACCTGGTGGGGGCCCAGCTTCCACCACAGCGCGACTTCATTTTGCACCTTTCTCCTCAGTGACCAGGGCTGGGAGGTGCTGGGGAGGGGACAGTGCAGCCGGAAGGCTGGAGGGCAGGAGGGGAGGGAGACTAAACACACCCAGTCTGTGCTTCCTCAGCCAATTTCTCGGTAAGATGGCCCCAAATTTCACCATCCTCATCAAGAACAGCATCCACTACCCCAAATTCCAGTTCTCCAAGTAAGAGCCATTAGAGGGTGGTGATGAGGTGGGCTGGGGTGGGAGCTGCCCCCCGAGAAGGCACTGTTTATGGGGGCATGGCTTCCACCCCCACCCCACTTGATGCCACTGGGCTCTGTCTCTAGGGGCAACATTGAGAACCGGAAGGATGGCTACCTGAAACACTGCACATTTGATGAGGTATCCAACCTCTACTGCCCCATCTTCAAGCTGGGCTTCATCGTGGAGCAGGCAGGGGAAAACTTCACCGAGCTGGCACACACGGTGAGGGCGCAGCTAAGGGAGTGGGCGGTCAGCTCTCCTCCCAGAAGCTGGCTGCTATGAGGATGAAGGGTCTCCATTACAGCCCTGCTCGAGCAGAGGAGAAACACGATAGACTGACCCAACTGGGTGTGCCTCGCTCCTGTTAAATTATTGTCTTCTGGTCACACAGCTGGCTGCTAGCGTCCACTCATGGCTCAGAAGCAGGGCACTCACCAAGTACCCCAGCATTAGGATGTGCACACCACACACAGCCTCAGGGCTCCTGAACGTCTTGTGTGTCCTCCCTGATACCATCTCTGTGCCTACTTCTGGGTAGGGTGGCGTCATTGGGATCATTATCAACTGGGATTGTGATCTGGACCTGTCAACATCAAAGTGCAACCCCAAGTATTCCTTCCGAAGGCTTGACCCCAAGCACATCCCAGCCTCATCGGGATACAACTTCAGGTAATTTGCCTTGGGATACCTAGGCCTTTGCCCTGGCTGTGGCAACTCCCAGAGTGAACAGGGTAGGTGCCCAAAACCTCAGAGCCACCAGCAGTCAGAGGTCTTGGAGCTACCAGCCTTGAGCAATGGGTGGGCAACCCTGCCATGCTCCTCAGAGTCAGCCATCCAGAACTCCAGCATGCAGGTCATTCTGTCCCAGGTTTGCCAAGTATTACAAGATAAATGACAGCACCACTCGCACACTCATCAAAGCCTATGGGATCCGCATTGACATCATAGTGCACGGACAGGTAAACCAGCAACCTTGCCTACCTGGGAATCAGCAGGTCCAGCCATCTTCCCATTCCCCCAGAGTCCCGCTTGCCCCAGACCCGACTGCCTAAGGCAGTCTCTCCTCTCCAGGCAGGGAAGTTCAGTCTGATTCCAACCATCATTAATCTCGCCACAGCACTGACTTCCATCGGGGTGGTAAGGAGCACACAGTGGGGTTGGCGGGTTGGGGGTTGGGCCAGGCCCCCACGTGATGCATCCATCTCACTGGCCCCAGGGCTCCTTCCTGTGTGACTGGATCTTGCTGACATTCATGAACAAAAACAAGGTGTACAGCCATAAGAAGTTTGACAAGGTGTGTACACCAAGGGACACCTCAGGTAGCTGGCCTGTGGCCCTGGCCCTTGTTTTGGGCCAGGCCTCTCCCCCAACCCACCCCTGCTCTGCAGACACAGACCAGGCAGGCCAACTGTGGGCCAAGGGGCAGAGCCAGGCCCAAGCCATCCTACCCCCACAGCCTTGCCCCACCTCTGCCCCATCCACACAGATGGTGGATACTCCCAAGCAGGGTACAGGACGAGTGCTTTCCATCTCTGAGCCTTCCCAACAGGACTCCACACTCATGGACGCCAGAGGTTTGGCCCAGCTCTGAGCCCACCTCCCGTCAGGCTGTATTGAAAGCCTGGGCCTGGAAGGGTTCCCTTTCTGCAGCCCCAAGACAAAAAAAGTCTCTGGCTCTCATGGCAGCATCACCAGGGGCCACAAGGTGGACCAGGCCCTGCCACAAGCCTCAACACTGTCTTGGGGAAAATGGGAACCAAAGGATCTCCATGCACCCCAGCAGTGGGCTGACACAAAAGAGGAGGCACCCTGCTCCCAACCTCCCTGAGCCTGTAGGGAAGGGCAAGTTCCTGCTACCTTTTCCCCAGCTGACCTCCCCTCCCACCCACACGGCCCAGCCCAGCCACTTTGTTCACCTCATAGCCAATTTATCATGTTCAGAATCCAATAAACCTGTGACCAGAATCTCTGGCCTTGTTTTTGGAAAAGCACCTTGAAGCCCTGGATATATATGTGATGGCAGGTCACTGCACATGGGGGTTGCTGGTTCCCCTGGCCCTTGTCACCCTCCCAGCATGCTATAATGTGGACACATCTGCTGCCATGTATAGCAAGGTCAAGGACATCTCTGACCAGGTCCAGGGGAACAGAAGCCATGAGTGCATGAAGACCCCAGACTCAATCACCAGCCACCTGCCCTACTTAGTACATTTACCAGCTTCCTGTAGGGGTCATCCCAGAAACCCAATCTCAAAACCTGGGAAAAGGATAGGACCTGTCAAGGAGGGGAGCCAGGAAGGAGGTACAAAAGGCATACCAAGAAAAACACTGGCTCTTAAAACAAATGGTCACCAAGGTGCTGAGGCCCTTTAAACAGGGCCAAAGGCAGTGCAGGATGTTGGTGCTGGGGACGAGGGATGGCCAGGGCAGGGTCAGAGCACAGGCACCAGCTGGACCAGGCCTATGGGTAATGTGGTTACTGCGCCTTCAGATGCTACAGTGGTCATTACATTTAGTGGCTCTGCCTGAGGGATTCCAGAACCCAGATGGCCAGTGGTTTTTCCAGCACTGTCAGAGGCAGGCACACAGGTCACCTCACCTGTGATCCTACTTCTCCCAAGGGTTTAGATCCATACCAGCCCCGGGGTCCCCATGCCCAAATGATGCTGGCAGGGAACCTGAGCCACCCTCCCACCTACCCACACAAACCAACTGGGCCAGCACAGTGGGTGGGAAGCCCCCACCCAGCCATCTCCACTGACCCATCCTTAGGACACTGGCTCCATGGTCACCCAAATACCAGTGAGCTCCTGAGTGTCTGGCTCACAGACATCCAGCTCTAGTTTTTTAGAAACTAGCTTTTCCAGTTGGGGTTGGGCTGCTGATCAAGAACTAGGGCCAGCTCAGGTGTCTTCATTTCCAAAAATATATCACCTGAGGTCCTACATCACACCCAAGTGCCCCTCAGCTGACCTTTCAGGGACCTGTAGGAGCTGCAGAGATGGCCTGCTGCCCAGAGCCCCTGGTCCTGCTGCAGGGAACAGGGAGTGGTGACCAGGGCAAATATACAGTGGCGCCTGCCCCATGCTCCACTGGGACGTCTCCAGTTTTGCTTCCAGGAAGCCGCCAGCCCTCCTTCTCCCTCACCCGGCCCTAATTTAATTTGATCTCCATCTGGGGACTGATGGGGTTCCATCCACCTTCCAACTGGAGTCAGGTGTCTCTTGGCCACTGAGCCTGGATGCGCCTGGTGGGTGATACCCAGGGGGCCATGCACCTGGACAGACGGATGTGAGCTATTTAGTTGGGTTCCGTCCACAGAGCGAGGTGCCTTGCACAAATGCACATGAAATGTTTTAAGAAATGTAAAATTCAAATCACAAAATCAGACAGCAAGAATGAACTAGAACAAGGCCGTGGAGTTTATAATTTCCACTTAACATTAGTTTGTAGCCTTGACAACTGGGCCTTTCTCTTATTTCTAGCTCAATTAGCTAGAAACGAGATGCAGAGCTGGTCTTAGACTCAGGGTTCCTGACAGGGAGAAGCTCAGCAAAGTTTCTGCAGACAGATGGAAAGCAGACCATGGGACAGCTCCCTCCTCTGAAGCCCCTACTCAGAGGGAAAGCAAAATGCAAGCAGGGGTCCTACATCTGCATCATGCTGCTCTGAATAAGTATCCCCTTTAAAGTGGCCACAGCCTCAATGCCTTCTGCTGCAGGCAGGGAGGGCAATAAGCCCTGAGCAAGGGTGACCTGCTCAGCTTTTGGAGGTTGGGCAGGCCCTGCGGGCCCAGAGGTCTCAGACTGATTCCTGAGGCTGAGAAGCAGGTCAGAACTCACCTCAACCCCATTTTTTCCCTCTTCCGTCCCCACCCACCTCAGAGCTGAAGGAAAGAACCCAAAATTTTGCATGTGAAATTTTTCTAAAACCCCCGTGCTAACATTATGTTAAAGCGTGTTGCAAAGGACAGCATGTGTTGGGGTGGGTGGGTCCTCTTCACAGCACACAGGTTCAGAGGGCAGGATATCCACCCAGTCCATGATCCTCCTTCTCGGCCCTCGTGCCCCCACCAAAACCAGGATTTTGGGTCTTGCTGCAGACGAGTTGACCACCATGATGCAGACACCTTCATGGACCCTACTCTGGGAAGTCACTAAGTGAAACCCAAGTCTAGGGAATTCATCCCCATAAGGTTCCAGTCTGGATTCCCTGGAACTGGCCCACATCCCACTAGCATGAAGCTGTGGGGTAGGTAGCATTCTCTGATGTAAGTAGTCAGAGAGCAGGGACTGCAGACTCCCACTTGGTGCCACCTTGCCCTGGGTCCTGCCTCCAATTACCCTCAGGGACTCTGCTCAGAAGATGCCAAGGGTACCTGGGGCACAGAGGAGGGACTGGGAAGGCAGGGACTGCAGGGAGGGCTCATTACTCCAATAGATGCTCCCCGAGCCTAGGTGGGCTGCCCTGACCACTGGGGGCCCAGGGAGCCACTGAAAGCTCCCTGGGGATTGTTTTCCTTTCTGGATGTGGTCATGAGTTTGGGAAGTCAGGCAGAGAATGGAGATGCTAATGGCCCAGCTGAGGGTTCTTCTGCAGAAGCCACTCCAGGGTCTCCATGAGGTACGACATGCCATAGTGCTGGGCAATGTTCCGGAAGATTCCAATCTGCTCCATGAGGACCTGCAGGAATGACCAGTCTCAGTGAGACCCAGGCCCAAAGGAGGTGCAGGAATGGAAGGCTGAGGACTGGGCATGCAGGAAGAGGAACAGATGTGCACAAGGGCCAGAGAGGGCAAATGGCCAAGGGGACAGTAGGATTGGCTGCCCGCTGGAGCCCCACCGTGGTGTGGATGGTGAGGGCGAAGTCTCCAGCACAGCTGCAGTACACAGGCATGTTGGTTTCCTTCACACCTCGGCACTTCAGGCAGATCTAAAGAGGAACAGCCCCAGTCAGGAGTGCCCCACCTGGTTCCACCCACGCCTGGCCAGTCTGACCTTCACCTTAACTAGAAACCCATTCCAGACTTTATTACAACTTTACCCACACATGCTCCCACTGTGAGCACCCCAGCCCTGACCGTGAGTTCTGGGACCTGTTGCACCAGGCACTGACGTTGGGTCTTTGCTGAGATATCCCCTCCCTCTAACACTGAGACCTCACTCCACACATACACCTCCCACCCCACCCAACTGCTCTCTTTACATGCTGTCTTCCTGTTTACTTAGTCTATACTAGGATGAGAGATAGTGAGGCTGGCACCTGGCCACTCTCAGTGCCCAATAGATGTAAGTGCACGAGGCCTGACCCCAGAGGTGGTCACTGCAGAGAACCAGGCTGTGATTTGGAACCTGTGCACACCATAGTTCCCTGTGGTGCAAACCACGTATCAGGAAGCCCCCCACCAAGTGGAGGGGTGGAGCAGCGAAGCCCCGTGTTGGCCTACTGCCCACCAGGTCCTGCAGGGTGAAGGCCATCAGCTTCTTGTGCAGAGCTTCCACCAGGGTCATCTCGATGACTGATGAGTCATAGGCAGCCTGGCAGTTGGAACAGAGCCACTGAGGCAACACAGACCCATCCTGGGCAGAGAAGGAAGGGATCAGATCACCCTCTGCTCAGCCTCCTGGGCAGCACTGAGAGGGGATGGGAACATGGAGGGCTCCTGGGTAAGAGGTATATGACTACATACGGCTGCTCAATTGCCATCAGAGACACTACATGCTCACCAGGCCAATGTTCTGGCAGGTAGCAGGCCACTCTGGTGGGCACTGCAGACCTCTCCCACCTGATTCCTGGATAACCCCACCACTAGGAGGAGCCTGTGGAGCCATCCACCTGAGAGAAGGAGGAGTCTTTGCACAGGTCCAGGTCCTGGCAGAAGTTACAGCTGCGGCAGATGACCTCAGAGAGCACATAGGAGCGGCAGGGGTCCCGAAACTGGGCCTCCTCCGAGAACTCGCCAACATCTGCAAGGCGCAGCAGGTCCCGATTCAGTTTGGCCACCTGGTTTGTGATGTTCGTGTCCAGAGACAGGACCTGCAGAGAGTGGAGCCATGTCAGGCACAGCTCTGGGGACCCCACAGCCATCCCTGAGCTGTGGCTTCTCAGGACGTCTCATCCCTCCCTTCTCTGTTAGGTGGGTCAGAGGGAGAGCCTCCTCCCCACACCCGCAGCTCTCCAGCATGGGCACACAGGCACAGGCCTGCTCTGCCCCTGGTCTCCTGCCCTTTGTCAGTTCTGGGGACCAGCTTGCTTTACCCCTTGTCCTTATTGTCTCCTTTTCCCTCAATGACAGGCAGTCCTAAGTCCACTGGAGCTTTACAATCTCATTTGCAGAGTGGATGACTTCAACCCATGCTCAGTGGAGGGATTTCCAGACAAGACTAGAAAAATCTCTTCAACACATATGTGCTGGGAGCTCACAGTGCTGGCACTGGGAAGTCTGGCTCTCACAGCAGTCACCCACCCTCCTGTGTGTAAAGGAGCTGGTCAGACAGGACCGACATCTTCCAAAGACCTATCCCACCCCTAAACACCACTATCCCAGCACAACCCAAGGGCACATGGCCAAACACTACTCAGAAGACATTTCTGGCAGCCAGAGAGCCTAGCAGATTTTAGCAAGTAGATTTACAAATAGGGATAATAAGGTCAACAGCTTGTTAGGCAGCATGATACTGTCTGTTCAAAAAATACATACATTATACATTTTCTAAATAAATAGGAACAAGGTTGAATTCAATTGAAAGAGACAGGAAAGATGTGAAAAGAGTTTTCACTGGTGAATTCATTCAACATCAGGAATTGAAACAGCACTGATTATTCTCAGTATCTTCCAGAAAACACTGCTAACTCATTTAATGATGCTAGCATCATCCTGGCACCAACACAAAGAGAGTACAAGAAAACCATCTAACAACCATGGGCACTGACCCAAAAATCCCCAGAAAATAC